TCGGGCCGCCACTCCGCAAAAACACATACTGGACTGACCGCGCGGTCCGAGTTATCCCGCTTGCTGGCAATCTTCTAAGCCAAGGCTTTTAGCGCATCGTGATAGCTTCAAGTGCGTCAGATTGTTTATAGGGAGGAAAGTGCACTGAGTCACTCTCTATTTCCACTTTCAGGTCCCAACTACCGTCCGAACTGGTCAGTGGGTTGATGCGGAGAATGCTCGCAGCTGCTAACATGCCTATTGACCTCATGCACGACTTGATCCCCCAAAAGCGAGCATCAGAATTGCACATGGAAGGGTTTGGTGACAGTTAATAAATCAGAAGTGGCTATTCCAGTCGCTTTGGTCTTTGTCGGTAGTGTGAAGTGGATTGAGAAATAGGCAGTTTCGAAAGACACTGAATGCACTGCATAGCGGCTGCTTACTGGCTAGGTTCATTTGTCTCCTCAGTCAGAACTGTGGCAGAAAGGTAACTTGCAGCAAAAATTACTGACCTTATCCTTTTTTTCCTGCAGGCTAGTTCTTATGTAAATAGCCAGGCGTTCTGTCAGTTCGCGCGTTGCAGCGTAGACGAGGATAGAAATTTGCTGGTTGAAAGGAGGATGAGTAAGCAAGTGGATAAGTGCTTCTTCGCGGTTCGCGTCCATGGAGGCAGTGATCAGAAGGTTGGGTGGGAGGGGGTTGAGGACGGGTTGAAGAAAACCATCGGCCGTGAGGAGATTTGTCAGAGTATCAGTATCCTGACTGGTTTTAACCAACTCGTCCACATTTAGGAAGGAGTCCAATGGGTGTGGTTTGGAAATACCCAGGTTGTGACAGATGTTTATGATGGTTGATGGGGTGCAGGTAGCGGAGAGGCCTAAGGTGGGAAAAACAGTCAGCAAGTTCGATGAAACTGATCAAATGGAAGTAAAAAGGAGCTTTAGGGGAGATAAAAGTAATCTACCTTGCCCATCAACAGAAGTTAAAGGAAGCCATCGACACAAGACAGCCTAGGTTAGCGTACTTGCAATAAACATGCTACCTTATGAAACGTTAACCGAAATTCTGAAATGTGTTTTTGGTTTCAAAAGATCACTTAATTAGGGTTGCAATGTGAATTATCGTATAGCATAGTCACCAGATATTAAGGTCCCATCAGGATGCCGGCAAAAATTAACTGTAAAAATTGCTACTTACGAAGTGTTCATTTCCCGCTCTCATTTTCGATGCTCTTAGAAATTCAAATATATTTCATTGAAATCGTATGCAAAAACATGCAATCCTGTACTTATTTCGTAACAAATTATATCTTCAAATTTTATAATTAAAGAAAGGGTATATGTTTGTTGTAAAACACATCTTCAATTTCCAAAAATTTTAAACCCGACCTACCATCACATTTGTACTCAGGGTTTCCAAACTACATGCTGTATAGATTCCGCCTAAAGAAAATCACAGATTTCCCCATGTTATTGGGAAAATTTATATAATTTTCACAAAAGTTTGTCGTGGATGTTGACCACGTTGTATGCTTTGTACGCAATATCAAGAAATGAACAGATAAGATAGGTTACCAATGGATACACCATGGTCTTAAAAATCGCATAATTAGAAACGTTTTCTTAAGTCGAAAGATATCCTCTTTTAAGAAGTGATCTGCTGCTGATATTCTCGTGCATATTCTCTATAAAATATATTCGAATTTGTAAGGGTGACTGAAATATATAGTGATTATATTGCACGACATTTAATTTTACAATCGTATATATTTAATATTTTCGAATAGAAAACACATTTTCGAATTTTGATTAAGATTAAATAAGGTAGCACATCCACTACAATTCCTCCATGTTCGATGAACACCACTGGGATCACTCGGTTGGTGGACGCACAGTTGACTGCGCGAAATATGCTCAAAAGCACCTATAGAGAAATATAACGATCAACAGTCTATCTACATCCTTCTTTAAACTTCGCGGTCTACAAGAAGTAGTCACACGCCCCAGTAATGTTTTTATTTCAAAAATCTTTGTGGGAACTTCACTAGAGGGTGGCTGCTCGATATTTCAAACTCTGCCTGGGAATTATATTGCCGAAGAAAGAATAAACCCTACTATAAGAAGGCTGGTGTAAAGTATCCAGTACGTGAGTACTGTTGAATTTCAACACAAATCTAGCCTAATTCGGATGATACCAAAGTCGCAATGTAGTGGAACAAGTTAGTGCTACCTACAAACCAAGCAAATGAAATGGGTTTTGTACAAAAATAAGTCTTTCAGACTCGGTAAGGCCTTACCCAAAAACCGATCCACACTTAAACGCGTTCTCAAGAGGCTGCAAACACGAAGATAAGAGGGCCTGAAGTGGTGGGACCAGTCGGCCAGACAGTGAGCCTCGTCAATACAAACAAAACTGATTGGTGGAAGGCGATCGGGTTGCAGCATCCACTCTGACTCCACCAGAGCCTCCGGTGACATCAAAATGTATGCATATTGACCACTGACAGGGAGATAAGTGGAGAGAAAGTTTCACAAATTAGGCCGAGGTCACTTACAAGCAAGTAGGCTTTCACGCCAGATCAGAAAGCAATCACAGACTGCACAGCAGTACTGCCTTTGTGTGGCTTTTAACCGATCGGTTGTGTGGGTACGTCCTCTAGACAGGCCGTGTGCTCTATACACTGGAACAACACGGGGACGAAATTGGAGCACGGCAAGCGTTATTCGGGTTGCGCCCCCATAACAAATGCCGAACATGGAGGGGAGCGTGGCGGCACGTT